CATTGTGGCAGGCACCTGTAGTCCCCGCTACTCAGGAGGCTGAAGCAAGAGAATCATCTAAGCCCAAGAGCTGGACGTTGCTGTGAGCTGTGATGCCACAGCACTCTACAAAGTAAGATTCTGTCTCTTAAAAACAAAAAACAAAAAACAAAAAGACAACTGCAACACAAAAAAAAAATAGCCAGGCAGGCATCTGTGGTGTCAGCTACTTGGGAGGCTGAGGCAAGAGAATCGCTTAAGCCCAAGACTTTGAGGTTGCTGTGAGCTGTGACACCATGGCACTCTACCCAGAGTGACAGCTTGAGACTCTTGTCTCAAAAAAAATTTTTTTTAATTAAAAAAAATTTTAAATCTGTTACAGCAATCTGTGATTAATCAGTGATCTTTTACACCCTCCACACAAAGCAGATGTATGGTGATAAAGCATTAGAAACTGTAGTAAAGGCTCAGCTCCTGTAGCACAGTGGTTACAGCACCAGCCACATACACTGAGGGTGGCAGGTTTGAACCTGGCCCGGGCCAGCTAAACAACTGCAACAAAAAAATAACTGAGCGTTGTGCTGGGCTTCTGTAGTCCCAGCTACTTGGGAGGCTGAGGCAAGAGAATCGCTTAATTCCAAGAGTTTGAGGTTGCTGTTGTGAGCTATGACACCACAGCACTGTGCCGAGGACAACATAGTGAGACTCTGTCTCAAAAAAAAAGAAAGAAAAGAAACTGCAGTGAAGGCAATCACCATGGCTCATGCCTGTAATCCTAGCACTCTGGGAGGCTGAGCCAGGAGGATAGCTTGGGCTCAGGAGTTTGAGACCAGCCTGAGCAAGAGCAAGACTCCATCTTTTCTAAAAATAGAAAAATTACCGAAGGATGGTGATGTGCCTGTAAGTCCCAACTACTTGGGAGCAGCAGTATGAGTAGCATTTTGATGTTATGTGAGCTATGAAGATGCCACCACAATCTAACCAGGGCAAAAAGAGTGAGACTCTTTCTCAAAACAAACCCTGGCTCAGCACCTGTGGCTCAAGTGGCTAAGGCACCAGCCACATACACTGAAGGTGGCGGGTTCGAATCCAGCCTGGGCCCGCCAAACAACAATGACTGACGGCTGCAACCAAAAAATAGCCAGGTGTTGTGGCGGGTGCCTGTAGTCCCAGCTACTTGGGAGGCAGAGGCAGGAGACTTGCTTGAGCCCAGGAGTT